GCATAGTAGCGAGGAGTATTTTGGATATGTGTGTGTGATAGCCATATATTCTACACGCTTGGTGTCATAATCAATCTCCGACCCTGACTCACAAGTACTTATGATCGAGATTCTCTTCACTCATTTACACTGTATAAATCCGCTGATCACTACATGAGGTCCAGGAGGCCATAGCAGCTGTATGCCGCTATGACGACGCACACTCTAAGGCTTTCAGGCCACATTTCGTTATTCAGGGCGATCTCACCATTTAGGTTCTTCCATGTTTTCTTTATCACTAGCTTTACGGGCATACCTATGTCAGCGTTCATGTATTACAACCATTTGAGCTTCCAGCTTTGGCGACGAGCTCACTGATGGTCACGCAATTCTCTTATATCCACTAAAGGTATGTTTTTTTTGTCTTAAACATTTATGGCATTATCCGATTAAAGACTATCTTGAGACATTGCTTTTACTGAGGAATGAGTGCAGTTTATTTGGTATTATCATTTTGTGAATGAGAGAGCTAGTTTTTTCCAGGCACGCGGAGAGGTATGCTTACCATTTATCGTGAACGCATTAGCTCCCTTGCACATCTCGACTGGTATCTTTCTAATAGTCGTAGATCAATATGTCATCTTCTATGGAGATGGTAATGCATGTCGGGAGAGAAAGAGAATTTCCTGGGTGATTGTGCATTTATCGAGTGTACTGATACGTCTACACTGTGGCTGCTTTTTGCTGGTCCACTACTTTTTGTGATTGTTATCGATTTACTCTTGGTGAGCTCTCTCACCAGGATAGATGCTCGGGTTAAGCGCTGGGCGTTTGGCATAAGAGCAGGGGCTGCTAAGCGAAGCTAAGTGCAGGCTCAGGGAAGCTCAAGTTTGGACATGCTTGAGGATTAAACATTTAAAGAGTTTATGTTGTGAAAGTAGAAAAAGAATCCCTACGAGAACTCGAATGCGTATTATTCGCTCGAAGCATTAGTATGTGGTATATCTATCACATGGCAATAAAACCTAGTAACGAACATATGGGTCATGTTATAATCAATAGAATAAATGAATATTATTGTAGTGTTCCACCACCAGATAAGACTATTGGGCTCGATCGTCGATAGGACGAGAGGCTGCAGGTGAACCAAAAGAATTAGTCTACGAACTTACTTGGAATGCCGGGAAATATAGAGGGTGACGGCGATATCCTGGACAAAGTGGTGGATTACTATCGCCGACTCTACTTATTCATAAACGGACTTCTTTCTCTGAGTCATTCTGTGATCTTTTGTAATGCGGCCATGTGTGTAATTAATTAAATATTACAGGTCTGCCCCAATTGCCGCCCAGTTATTTTCTCAAAAGTGTATTAATGATGTCAGTTACAAATTTGATATAGATCTATTAATACCACATCTATTCGGTCTAGTAATTTTGGTATTTTAAGTGAAAGTATCGAATCAGATCAAGTTGTAGCGATACAGGGTGTAAGGGGAAATTGTAAATTTCTAAAGGCAGTGTTTGTTTCTCATAAGATTGATAAGATAAATTCTCAAAAGGACGACATGAAATCTAGCACCAGGCTGCATTTTCTACAGGCTAAATATGTAGAGATCTTTATTAAGAATGAGCTGAGAACGGTCAGAATTATTCAGCAGAGATAGATAAATTAATGAATATGTAAATCATGTGTATTTTGTTTGGATCTTGGTTCTATGGTTATTATCATATTTGTAACATGTGCTGCTACTTATTGCTTATGATCGTATCAATGAAACTTATCAATAGAAAAATGCAGATAAGAGTTTCTAAGTTATTTTTCTACTCTGTCAGATGTAATACTGAACAGCTTAAGTTTCACAGGTTCTTATATACAATACTTTAGATAGGCTGGCCTGTTTTCATTCATACGATTGTCTCGCATAGTCATCGCATAGACTTGGGTGGTTTGTTGTGGAGTTTTAATTAAGCTTAGCATACGCACTTGAAGTAGTTTTGTGTGGATCACACTCTAATAGATTGGCATAGTGATGTCTCAATGATTGGTAATTCAGTAGCTTTCGAAAGGTTGCTGACATGACTATCTAAAAAGATTCTAGTGAATTATAGGGAATGTGATGTGATGAATCTGTGGAATATTAGACTATTGACCAGGGAAAGCTAATCTCTGCTTCTCATGTACAAAGGCGAGCAGAAAGACATGACACGAGAGACATTGGATGGGTAGGATCCTGCACCATGCTCAGAGAGCTGGTCATCTTTTTCAGCATGTTGTTTCAGAAATATGCACAGATCTAATATAACTTTCCATTCTGGATCACAACATGAGTCGCAATCATCATTATGTGAGATTGCTTCCACTCTCACGAGCTGGTCTTCGCAGATCTTGGCTTTGGTGCTTCTAACGTGAGAGAACAGGTGGATGAGGGAGTGGGGCTGTGCGTTGGTGTTGGGATTCGTGGAGGAGAAGAGGTTTGTATGTTATTATATGTGGCATTATTTGAACCAATACGACCATATTTTGTGGTTATTATTCGTCTGAGTGAACACGTGAAATTGGTTGACCTTCTCTGATCAGTATTTTAATTATTAAGGCATGTACGCACGGACATCATTAACGAAGATCATATATAAAGTCTATCGGGTTGTCCATCTGGTTACTTCACGGTCGATTTATAACAATTTGGATAAAAATCATCTATGACGGTTACTCTCAGCTGACATTGGATTATAAAACACTGATTTCACTCCTTAACAATGTTAGTGGCTTTGTGAATAGCATGTTAATATGGTGAGGATAATGATTCAATGTGGGTGATTTATATCTTTGTGAGATGTGCATTGTGTGCTTTTTTCTTGCTGCACTGTTCTGAGTGCCTGGGTTACGACACACTCGCCATCTAATTACACCATTTTCCCTGTTATCATAACTTATCGCTACAGCATGGACAATAAACACTCTCATTACTACAATACTCATGAGTGTTCTGACTTACTGATCCTTACTATGTTATCCTAGATACATTCCTAGCGGGACGAGTTTTTATTGTTGGTTATTCATCTTACCATGCGAGGCATCTTTAGATAGTAACTCGGCAAGCTTAATAGGAAGAGCCACATGACGACAATATGAACCTTCCCTTCTACTTTCAGAAGCACATAATGTGTTGAGTGTTACCGGTAGGAGGGGCGTTGGTCGTGTTAATGTCTCGAGATCGAGTTTCTTTCGTATGAACTTGGAGGCCGCAGAGTCATGAATTTGGGGTTACTGCCACCTCTTTCTCCCGCTCAGAGAGTGAATGTGAGGGTCGGCTCAATGGCCAGCTTCGAAACGAGTATTCAGGGACAGCAAATAGTGCTAGCATGCCTAGTTTTATTTAGATGACTTAGTGTAGCTTGGAGTCGCTATGGTTACGTACACATGAGGATCAGAAGACATCAACAAAAGTTCTCTGCTAATAGGTATGGATTTTCGTATGGTAGATCTTTCTTACTTTCATCAATAAAAATCACTTTTATTCTTCAATTCTGTACACATAATAATCCTCTTATAAGGCACTTCATGGACCTCGGTTGTTTCTCTGGAGCTCGTACCTTAGACTGCGCGGGCTTTATGCAGCGTTGTCTGACATAGATTGGGTCTAAACGTGAAGAATGAGCTGGTGGAGCCTTATAGATACGGCACATTAGACGCAGACGTTATGCTGCACCACTTAGATATTGATGCTATTTCACCATGGGCGCCCAATTGAAATACAACCGATCTTTGTAATAATTAACTAAATATACAGGCGCCTCATATTGTTGATTCCTCTAGATAATTGATGATGTTTTTGAGACTAGACATATTGAATTGAGATTATAAAGGTCCTGAATTGGGAGCATACTTCTGGTGGCAGGAACAAATAGGCCTACCGAGAACAAATTGGAGATAGATATCAAACTCGGCCGACTATAAGAACTTTAGAATGAGTTCATGGTCTCAAGATTATTTAGTGCAAAACTTCTAAGAAGAAATGGAAATAATAAAAATTACACCATTTTGAGATATTTGTAATTTGTAAAAATGGAACATTGTCTTCTTCGACAGACTAACTATTATTGGAACATACACATAGCCGTGGATAAGTCATACGACTGGGTAGTTGTTTGGATTTTCCATATGTATTTAATTTTAAATGTAATATAATAACAGCATAACCTGTCAAGGGTAGTCTAACATCTTTTTTCGCACGCTAATTTAGTCTTCCTACTGTCATCGGTCTCTACTTCTGAGTAACGGTTGATCTTGGTGTGTTAAAGGGATAAGGAAACATTGTTGGTTGACATTAAAAGCGCTTTAATTTCTAGTTGGCAGGTGATCGCTCGCTCGGATACCCGATCTTCATCGTAATTATGATTAGCTATTCCATCTCTCGAGTATTGTGATAATTTTAGCAGACCCTGGTAAGCATGCGGATCGTCTCACTTAAGAGCTAACATATGCATGTCAATGGGATAAGTCAGGGCCATACCACAAGGAAAAAAGCCCACGCTTCCTTAAAACGTGACTTGAAAACAAATGGACTACCTAGACCAAATCACGGAGAGACGGATGGAGACCACTAGACAAGCAGACGGGTCCATATGTGAGGTTGTTGTGAGCTCTGGAAATGTAGAAAGACTAATTATAAGGGTTACTCTAACATGCGTGAAAGAAAAAAAACACAACTACAGGTCTGCTTTTTATGAGGAAACAGCCTTATAACATGATTAAAAGCTCACAATAGTCAGATTTGTGTAATACAGGACCTTTAAAAAGAGCTAGAGCACTTTACAGCATGCATCACAGTTTTAACTGTAGACACGTCACTGTGAATTTTCTGAAGAGGGTAAATACTTGGCTGAAAGTTAATTAAACATATTTATATATTTTGTGTTTAATTTGGAATGTTATACAAAGTTATACAAATATTATAATTTCAATATAATAATTGTGTATAATTGATTGATGATTATTTGAGTACAGGAAAGACTTACATTGAGTAGTGGCGACAGCTCGACCACCACCATGGGCTCGCTGGGCTGTGTTTCAGGGCGGACAGTCACCGTCAGAATCTTGGAGTTGATCACTGCAGGTGAACTGTGAGGACAAATAAATACAAAATTGTTATTAATTGTAATACATTTAACAAGGTAAACCCTAAAATCACACATAACTCTGTCATAGTTCATTTTGAGTGGTTTGAGAGTGTTTGAAAACGCAAGTTCAGTTCATTTTTCATAAAATTTTACTTTTGATGAAAAAAAAAGCAACTGCTCCCATCTACATCTTGAAATGAACAGACACCCAATCAATTTTAATTTGAGGGTGAACCAATAAATGTCCTCTACGAAGTAATAGGTACTTTTAAAACCCAAAACATGCACCATAGATACAATCATCCTCCATTTATCGGACAAAATAGTGAAATAAAAACATCAGGATCATGTAGAGCGGGTCAATATGAACATTTTAAGACCAAAATGACGAAGCCCACAGCAGCATTTTCAGAGAGACAATTTTTCAATGTAAAGTCAATTGGAGCCAGACCACGGTCACTTCCTATTTGGAATGTGGCAGCTAGCGGGTTAGGGTTTATACATATATATATATATATATCTATATATATATATATATACAGTATATGGGTTAAATGCAGAGGACAAATTTCCCTATGGGGGACAAATTCTCATTTACTGCTGATCAACCGACAGCTATACTTGAACTTAAAATGATCAGAGTTAAAAAATATTCTAAACCAACCATATATAAATATGTTTGCTCGATTTTACATGACCCTGAACTAAGACAGACTTAAAAAATAAAGTGTTATTTATGGAATTCACAAAGAGGCAAAAAACATGTCTGTACATAAAAAAATATAAGGGGCAATATTTCATAAAATCTCCTGAAAATATGAGGATCTATTAGGACCTGTATGCATTCTTGAGCTGAGGGCAGACTACAGTAGGAGCAACATAACAGATCCCTCTCATCCTCTGTTAAGTGCACTGACCGGAATCTATGGGCTCAGGGCCAACACAATCACTGTACAGTGTCGCCATGGCCTTTTGACAACCCCACATTCACCATAGACTCTCTGAGGGTTTATGACACACAAAATGGAAATCCCTAAGCACACTGCCAGAAATAGACTGACAATGAATAACATCGAGGTACTACAGGGAATGTGTCTTTTTTACCACTTGTCTGATAACAGGGCATATTCAAAGACAAGCAATAATGGACCGGACGGCTTCGGATGTCGGAATTATAAAGAATGAAGAAGTAGAAAGTAACTTGGGAAGATGAAAAAGTTTGATAGATACTTTGAAATGACAGAAAATGTAACTTAATTGTAAAGGAACAAAAGAAAAGGGAATTGCATTGAATTGTCGTTGAGGTACTTACGTTGGTGCTGGGAGGATGACACCCAAAGTCCGGTATAAGATGGCTCCAATCACATAGTACATTGGAGAATCTGAGTCGGTCTCTGTCTCTGTAAATCAAAGAACACAAGAGACAAACATCAGTCAGTACTCAAATACAGAACCTAGAAGAAATTAACCATTAGAAAACAGTACAATTTGAGAAAACATTTTAGTCACAAATTATGCAGTTTTCTATTTCCCTATAATTTACAAAAATTTTGTAAAACCTTAGTCAAATTGAGTTTGCGCACCAAGGGGTGGACAAATAACAAGATAGTAATAAGAATTTCAATCTCTGCTAACATTTGGCCATTTTGCCATTATATCCTTGTGCAAAGTCCTTCTGTATTTTATCCTTGAGTGTCTTCTTAAACTGATGTGTCTACTTATGAAGTATGACAGTTCCTTGATGTGTATGGCTTTGAGGTCAAAAACAAAACCAAAACAAAAAACAACTACATAATTGCAACCCTAGCCTACAATACAAGTGAATACACAAATATCCACATACAAAGACTTCAAGGCAACTACAACATCAGAGAAATAGACATTTTGATTCATCCTAGTTCATTTGTGATTCAGGTGATGTTACTGTTAATATTATACATAACTGGCCAAGTATTGTGTATGCAGATGTAACATTTCTCCAGAGGAGCCTCTAAAGCCATTTTAATGAAGTCCAAAGCTGCAGCTAGCATTGTCTTGCCCCATTTTCTTTCGGCATTGTCTCAAATCCCCACATGTCTCTTCTTAAGAACGCCTTTTTGTCATCATAGTCAGTTTCTACCCAAGTTCTCAACAAATTTTACATCCTTTTCAACAACTGTTTTTCAGCAACCCCTTTCCATTCTCCTCCTCTCCTTCTTCTTCCTCTTCTTCTTATTCTGAGCCCTTCTCCACAAAGAGCAGAGGGGGCTCCCGCGGAGACATATACAGTCCGTGTGTAAATGTCACTTTGTCTCAAGTTCTTTCGGGGATGGGGGCGTACTTGAGAAAAGCAGAGTTCATGGCAGGAGACGACACTCCCTCCTTTGCCCTTTCAGCCCGGAGGAGTGACGGAGGAGCATCGGTTCAAAATGGGGGGAGGGGGGAGAGGAGATGCTATCAGACACAGGGGGTGACTCATCCAAAATCTGTCTGCTTGCCTCCCCTTAGAGCGCACACTCAAGAAAAGAGAGGGAGAGATATGCACGGCTGATAAAAAAGAATCCGCTATTGTGAGTTTGAGAAGGCACAAAAAACAGATCAAAGTCGGGAGTGAAGAGCCAAGAAGACTGATGGATCCTAATTGGACAGAGTCTGGAGATGTATTCAAATGAATTCAAAGTGCGTGCGGGGCAAAATCCGTTTGTGGAAAAAATAAAAATGGCATTTCTACATTTGATTAATACCACCGAAACTGCTCCGTCACTAAACCTTCATTTCCGGCCTACGCAACTTTTTTCGCCAGCCTTTTTCCGCTGCGACGTGATCGGTGGTCAGCTGTAATCCAGCGAATGGCAACGCATTTGTCAGGCCAACGCAAACGCTAATGTACCGTTTGTCAGCAAAATATATGCTCCAAGCTTATCCCAGGATGTAATTGATAGTTTTAATCTGAGATGGGAGGAAGCCTGCTGTTCTACATAAGTAACTTTAGGCCTTGTCACTGGACTTCCTACTATTTAGAGAATCTTGAAAGTCAAAAAGTGCCAAGCTAACTCACCCCAATAGGATGAAGATTGTGGATGCCTGCTTTATTTAATAGATTTCACAATTTGCTCTTAAATGTTTGAAATTATATACACTTTACTTTAATGCCATGCTTCCGATTCATTTATGGTTAAAATAGGGCTATAACCACTTGTTTAATGAGATAGGAAAGTCACACTGCATGGCTGATTTAGGAGCCAGTAGGTTATTAGCTGATCTTAGCATAAAGATGAAACAGCAAGGGGAAGCTGTGCACATTTATATATTTGAATTTACCAAATTGCTTCCAAGTATCTTATTAAGGCTCCAAGAATTTCATTAAAATACCTTTGCAGGGTTTATGTTTGAGGCACTGTATTATTACCAGTGTGACCCTTTGGGATGAGAACTGAATGGCTGCGTATTAGAGGACCACCCTGCTTCACTTCCCGACTGATCTGTACTGGGGCAACGCAAACATAACTTTATTAGCTGAAATCAGGTACAGATATTTTTAGATGTTCTAACAGGTTTCACTTATTTTGTTCAAAAGAAACAACATAATTTGGCGCATCTCTAAACTTCACAGCAAAGACTTTTGAGACAACAGCCAAAGCTGACACAGATCTATCAGACACCTCACAAAAACACTGTCAACTTGGTGACATGTCTTGCAACTTGTCACTTTGAGAAAGCACTCAGAGCTGCGGTGAAGAAAACATACCTCTAAGTTACTTAATGGGGGGAACAAAATAAGGGCAGACCAAAATGGAACAGAACCAGATGCTGATGGATTTTTACATTCAATTAAGATGCATGTTATGACATTATGAACATGAAAAACCCCATGCTGTTTCTTGCAATGGTACAAAAGTTCCGAAATAGATCAAAACAACAACCAAAAATAATCAGGGAATAGTTTCTCTACAATCTGAAATAGTGTTAAAACCCTTAAGAGAAATACAAAAATGGCACAAATCTTTGAAAAGATGTTCCTGATTCACACGGATCTTCAGCTGTTATAAAACCAACAGTGAAATATAACGTAATTTTCTTTCTTTTTAAATTGTTTTTTATTAAAGGTTTATTTGGTTGCGATAGTGCAATGTAACAGACTTACATGATGCACATTCTTTAAATACAAATACTAATTATCTGCTGTCCCACATTCACTCTCACAAACACACATTTATGCACCATCGCAGGAGCAATGTGGGTGAAGTGTCTTGCCCAAGTACACAACAGTATACACTGGTCATAGCGAGATAGTGCACTTACAACTGAGCCACTGCCGTCCAGCTACTGAAATTGGTATTGGTCAGTGGCCTCCCATCACAGAGCTACTAAGATGGTATAGCTGATATGCAAGTCTCAAGCAAATACTCGAGAATACTAGGAGAGATGGTGCAACAATCAAATGGTTAGGCCAAAAGGTTGGGCGGCAGTAGCTTAGTTGGTAGAGCATTTGCCCACTGATCTGAAGGTCGGCGGTTCGATTCCAGCTCTCGACATAAACATCACAGGTTGAGTGGTCAGATCCACTGACCCACAGGTTGGCTGGTGTGATTCCAGCTCCCACAGATGAATGCTGTCGTTGTGTCCTTGGGCAAGACACTTAACCCACCTTGTCCACAGTGTCTGCGTACACTGGTGTGTGAATGGGTGAGTGGTTCCTTGTTGTAAAGCGCTTTGAGTGCCTTGAAGGTGGAAAAGCGCTATAGAAATATGTGACCATTTACCATGGTTAGGCCAAATTCAAAAGTTAAATAATAATAAATAACCTCCCTGGAAGTACAAGTTGTTTAAAACTGATTCACTAGAATCATTTGAATGATTGCTCATAACTTTAATCACTTACACCATCTTGAGAATGAACCATCTTGGAATCTGAACAGTGTTAGGCCTGGATCACTAAAGGGAAACCACTGAGAATACATGTGCAGCGACAGAGAATTAGTGGTGAAAGCACTCTAACACATTCACAAACCCGAAAGTCAATGGCTTGATTCCTGCTCGGACCTGTACATACTGTCCTGGGGCAAGACACTTCACCCACATAGCCTCCAGTGTTGAAGTCCACTGAGGTATGAATCATTAATATGCCTCCACCAAATTTAGAAACAATAACATTTCTGCTCATTTTGAAAATACAGGCTCTAGACACTGTCCTGTACACGTGTGTGTGTGAGTGGAGGGATGAAGAGAGAGAGACGGCCATAAACGAAGAACTTGAGGCAGCCTGTGGCCAGTGAAGCGACTCATGAACCTATCAGCTGGCTGCGTGCACGTGCACTCTGTGAGCTCACGTGCACTCACAGAGGAGACTGCAGGTCCTCATGAGCATGTTTAAGCTGTCCGACTGAGATGGGCTTTCATTACAGGCTAAATGAACCAAACAACTGATACCAATCAAGTGGAGACCTCAACTCAGGGAATGTCAATGTGCCATCACTAAAATCCAGCTGATAGTAACTTCCCAGCACACAGCAGAAGTACTGTATTAAAGATCACAGCATAACTTTTCTGGTCTGCCATGTGCTTGTGTCAATTTGTATATCAGGTTGCCTATAATGTTCCACAGTATGGCATTCAACAATTATTCACTGACAGATCTTTTATTACTCAGAAATACTTTCTGTCAGGGTCACCTCTCCAAATAGCTGAAATGTTACATGGCCAAAAGACATCATCTGCATAGCTCCAATAAGACAGATCCTCTGCACCACTGACCAAATCTCCATAGAGACAAGGAGTTGGTGTGCACTCCTCCAGAAAAGTTACACAGTGCAACTTCAAGCAGCAAACTGTAAAGTGAATAGACTTCAGATTGTATGAAGTAATCATCTAGTCAAGGAGTAAATGCCGTATAGTAAGTAAAAACATGGAAAATGAACCAAATAATAATATAACACTGGCACTGGTTTCTATCATCATGACTTGGTATTAAATGTCTCAGGGATGAAGTTTCCTCCTTTAACTTCTGCTATATAAAAAGGCTTTCAGTAATTATATCCCGAAAAGCCAGTAAATAATATTGGTAAGTATTTCACTGAAGCACACTAAAGCTCTACTCAAGCATATTAAAGTGTAACTGCTAATGAAACTGAAGCATTTAATTATGCATTTTGAAAGGTGTATTTGCAGAGGCTGAACCCTAGATTTTATGAGGAGAACACTTCACAAATATGCATATCTATGCATATCATAAGAGTCTGAATAAGATGTAATACTGCATAGAGCTATGGGACAGATGTTTTAGCCAGATGATGATACTTTATCTCAATGGCAATACAACAAGAATTGGTGAATTCCCTTAGTAATCACTTCTGTAAGAAACTAACAGCCTAATGGAGTATGAGTTCTCTGCTGACAGACCATAGTTGCTGATATAGGTCCTGTGTGTGGCTATGTTTAGATGCACACCAAAATCTGATTATTATCTGATTTCTGGAGTTATCAGATTTCTGAAATGTCATGTACTTAGATCTGATGCGAGTAATGTGATTTCTTTCTGATTGTTCACACCTTTGCAGGTTTTGAAAGGAAAATCATTCAATCAGAAAAACAGAAAATCAATCAACAAAAGGGCAAACCCACCCCCCAAAAATAGATAAAAAAATAACATTGAAAGAGTTGTTCAAAATTCATTGTACTTTGCCTTCCAAATAAAACAGATGCTCAAAAAAACAAAAAACAAAAAAACATTCAGTAATTCACACCAGTTATATCAGATTGCTTTAGTTCATGTAAACACACATTAAAACAGATCAATATGGCTTATTTGATTATTCCAGTAATGCAATTTTTACTGGAGATGTAAATGTCCATAGTGACTTCTTAAAAGGTGATCACTACATGAGTTCTAGAGACCCAAACTAGTATTTTAATTCAAAAATATTATCATCTCCATTTTCAGAGCTACTGTGTTGTGTATCTAGTCTATGCTCTCTATCCTGAGATAAACCCCACTTGCTGTCGTAAATTCAAAATAAACCAGAACACTGAACAAAACAAATCGTAAAATTGTTCCATTAAATGCAATCTACAGCCTGGGGTAAATAACCACTTTTAACATTGATTAAAGAGCGCGAGGGTAGGCGAGCTGAGGTGAGCTGCGGCAGGGTCAGAATACAGTGTGCCAATCAAAAGCCCGTACCTGTCATCACCAGAGGTCAAAGTTCACAGTGGCTCTGATCTCCTGACTTGCAGCCACTATGATCTTTCATTTGGCCTGCAGCAGATTTATCAGGCAGGAAGTTGGCCACTGTAATTTCCTGGGAGATGCGACCTTTGCTTTTGAAACTACTGGATCACATCTGAACGACTCTCTCTCCACCTATTTCTTGAAAAATATATTCTCTTTTTCTCCCTTTTTTAGTTTTGATAATTGCCAAAGCTCCTTTTGAACCATTTTCTATGCAGTCCTGAACTTGAAAAGAACTGAAATTATTTTGTTGTTATTATACGTTTTAGATTTTCTCTACGCTAAACAAAACAATACCAAATGAAATCCTCTGATGCTTCATCCACAGTTGACAAGACAATGGAAAATGAACAAACAAATTGGAGGGGAAGCATTAGGGACCTACTATTGTCAAGATCTAATTACTATAATCAACGGCAAAGCTAAATGCTCCATTTAACCTATTGAAACCGCTATACCCCCATTATGAATAGATAACTACACAGGAGGCATCACTCAAAGCTTCGATAAACAATAGCTCCACAAAGCACAGGACTCAACTGCTCAAATGCCTTTTGAACTTAATAGCACACACATTTACCATTGTTTCAAAACATTAAAACTATTGACAAAGCTGGTACTGTACATGATTTTTTTTTTTTTATAAATGTATTAATCAGAACTTAATTAAAACAGGATAACCAGCATTGTGTTATAGTACCATGCAAGCTAGAAGAGAGAATAAAATTGTCCATAAAGCTATAAAATACCTTCGCCCTCTGCCTGCCAGTCTCTTTGTCTGCTCCTGACACTTGGCTCTGATTGGCTGTTTATGTTTTCCTGTCTGTAAACTGGGGTTGGAGATCACGTACAATACAAGCATGTTATATATGTACATACTGACACAACACACAGGGAGTGCCACAGTAAAGAATTGTTTACGCAAGGCAACACCTTCCCAAACTCAAGGAGAGGCAAAGTGGTCCCTGGGATTATGAGTAGTGTGTCCCTGACATTTAGCTACATACAAAGTAAAATTTTGTAAAATACTATTTAAAGGTGTAATATGTAACTTTTCTAATCTCTACATAGCATAAAGAGCAGCAAAGGTCTGCCTCTGTCCCTGATCTCACACACTGCCTCAGGTTTAGGACGACCCTCCCTGCATCTCTGCCCCTCTGTGCATTTGTCTCCCTTCATGGTTATCTCCCCTCACCCTTTCCAAGTCAGAACGTGTAAAACTTACTCCACTAACTGGACTCTCATTTGGCAATATCAAGCAAAGCGTATCTGAATAGAATGGTACTTGCGTGTGCATTTGTATCTTTATTTACATTCCCACTTTAATCCCATGTGCTTCTCATGATAAATGTTAAATGCTGTATGAGCTTGGTGATAGGAGTCAGCCCCGTGCTGAAAGCAGTCAGTCTGTGACGAGACGCCGCTGTGATAGTAGTGATCCACACTGACATACAAGTAACACAAGTACGACTGCTTCAAACGCCTCATTCACGTTGTGTTTTTTCATAAAGCACCAGTTTTCACAGCATAGACAGAAAACTGACCCATCCACTGTCTGTGCAGCTCAAGAGGAGAGGAGGAGAATGGAAAAAGAGGGAAAGGAGGAGGGACAAAGAGAACAGAGAGGAGCTCTCAGAAAGGCTTGTATATTTGCAGAGCACCGAGGCCATGTGTTGTGCTAGTTCATGGCTTCATGCACAAACCAATGAAAGACAGTCACAGCCTGTGAAAGCCGATTTTAATGACATAATCACCGAGAAGAAATGGCATTGATAGAATTAGTAGAGTTATATGAGGTTAATTTAGGCATTTATATAATGCAAAATGTTCCAATATAATAAATAACATGTGTCTCTCGAGGCTGTGCTGGGGGCTTGGAAAAAGAGAAGCACTGCATTAGACATATGAATCTCCGTGAAGACAAGCAGATGACAGTTACAAGTCAGATCTGTGGAGAGGTGACCCCACTTTTTTGGCAATAAAATCACATGCAGTTGAAAAAATGCGATCAGTAAGTTGAATGCAATCCTGCGAAACATTCCAGATAAAGCATCTCCATGGAGACAGACCTCACCAGAATAGTTATAGTGTTTCTTTAAGAACTCTACCCACACATCTGAAACTATACCATGACCTGGACGACTGACAACCTCTAGGTGCCACAAATATAGAACATGCCTCACAGATGATTGAACAATGTCTTCTAGTCCTTCCCAAGAGCATCTTACATAGTCAATATTACCCTTCAGTGTCCTTCAGCTCCCCCTTCACCCTGTGTTCATATGCAAATGTTTGATCCCATAGAGGAATGCTACTTCTCAAGGCAAAACGTTTAGATTTAAGCTTAAGCATTAAATCACTGCCAACTTCCAATCAATTTTGATGAGAGTTTATTTGTTAGTACACTTGCCTTCAGTGGGGATGGTGAAGACTTCCTTGGGGATGTAGAGCTTGTCCTCCGCAGTTCTGGCCCAGTCTTTCATCCCTCTGCGGCCCTTCATGGGGAAGTTAATATCGCTGGAAACTGCTGACACTGGCTCTCTCTGAATGGTTATCACTGGCAGAACAAGACACAAAGCAAATGCCTGAAATTGACTGCAGTATGAAACAATAACAGAGAATACTGTATCAATGCAGGCAGTTCAGAAAATCTCTGCATTCACTGTTCAAAGTATGTTGTCTGTTATGTGAAGCAAAATAATGCGTTTTAAAGCATATTCTTGGATCAGAGTGAAACTGTGAAAAAATAGCACTGTTTTCATAGCAATTAACAATTCAAAACAAAATACAAGATCTTTGAACTAAAAATAGTGCCTATAAACAAAAATCTGAAACCAATGAATATATTTGCACATCCAAATTTGGCCAAAATCTAGAATCAATAATTAAATCACCATACATGAATTCTGAATTCATCCTAAAGTAAAATAATTTTAGTTCTCATGGGGACTTGTTTAGGTCCTGTTCTAGTTTAGTTGTGGTCTAGAGTCGTGGTTTAGTATCAGGTTTATTCTTGGTTTAGATGCCATTTTTGATACAGTGAATGTGTGAATTGTAAATATTGTTTATTTGAGGTTTTAATTTTGACATCATCATAAAAGTCCAAATGGAAGACTTCTAGATACTTTAAAGAAAGGTAATTTATGATTAAAGGGCCCATATTACACTATTTTCTGATCTATGGTATAATTTTGATGCTTCGTTCATCAAAAACATACCTGGTGTTGAGTTTTGCTTCATTCACCAACACAAACCCTGCATATTTAGGTTCTCTCAAACTAAAAACACTCTGCTCCACCTTGTGATCTCATGTGATACTACAAAAAGTGCTCCACTGTGTTTTTAAATGATTCACTAGAATCATTTGAATGATTTCGACCCTTGAACTGCCAATCTCTTCTGAACTAAAGGTTAAAGGTTGCCGTTTCCTTGAAAACTACTGCTTCGTGACATAAGGTGGAGCAGAGCATTTTGATGTAGATGTAGACAGACTAATAATAGAGGGTTACACAAACATGTGTGAAGGAAACAAATGGAGGTAACAGCATTCTAACATGGCTAAAAACTCACAAGAGTCAATTCTGACTAATCGAGGACCTTCTAAACAATGATCTTGGTGATACATTGCGCAGACATGTTTACATAGTACAATCGTGGTATTATGCCTCATTTGATACTTACTGAGATTGTTGGTAACCACTAAGAAACTTTGAAAAGGCTTCTGGGCTTCTCCAATGAGGTGAATGAAATCTTCTAATATCCTCATGAGCAGAGCTGCCCCGGGAGCGACCTGTGGATGGATATACAGGCCTGTCATTACACATACAAAGCACTACTACACAGCACTGTATGACAAGCCAACACCACTGGAATATTTCTCTACAGTCACCTCCCTTGGGCATGAATTGTGTTCTAGAGCAGTAAATTGTACCCATAATATCATATGCTAGTGTGTACAGATGGAGAGTAAACAAACCCTCAACCCAAGGGCGTAGGACTGGAATGGAAATAGACTAATTCAGTAACACTGCTATCTTAAATAATGGACAGCCACTGCAGTCGGAGAAAGAATTACCTTAATAGTAGGATGCACAAATAAATCTGATGTGAGGGATGCAATTTTAGGCCAAGGGTACAGATAGCGCTGAACTTTGTGTGCAAAAAGTAAAACAGTCCTAAAAATGTGAAAAAAGATAACTAGCCAAGTTCAGTGCTGGCATTCTAATTATTCTAATTATTCACCATGATACCAAGTTTATAAGCGTTTTACTACTAACTTTCAGGGGCCAGAGCAGAGTTTTGCTGTCATGCTACTTCTAACAACAACTACTAACATGTTAAAACAGCCTAGCACCAGCCTAACTTCCTGGTTGGTGGATAATAAAAAGGCTTTATCATTGAATGCAGAGAGACACACATCAATAACTGATTTCAACCCCAGAAGCAGTTTTTACTATATATGTTACTTTATGGTATGAAGGAGAGGCTACAATCACTTTACGTAATCAACTAACCTGATGTGCGTCCTCCCACTTCTCCAGATTTTCCATGTCCAACATATGACTGACTATGAGGAAAAATTTCTATAAAAAATGAAAGTTCACTGAGTTAGTTCCAAAGTTAAAGTACAAATAAAAGCTCTGAATCATCATAAGAACAGCTTGTACCTGCACGTCGTCGGGAGCTGGGATGTAGGTTGCTCTTTTGAAGGTGTCCGTCACATTTCGTAGGATCTCCGTGGAAAAGAGAAGGTCGCCACTGTAGTAGCTCCTCCTCTGCAAAAGCTCCAGGAGACTCCGTACGATCTGAGACATGCCCTCCCCAGCCAGGGTCCTCTGACCCTTCGCCAGATGCTCTCGTAACTGCAGCACAGACAGGACACATGTGAGAGGAGAAGGACATTGCATTTGTATACTAAGATCATGATAACAGCTTTGATTTAGAACCACATAGATAGACAAAGCTTACGGACATTGTAGATTTATGGTGTGCTCACACTCACACATTCATCACCTCAAAACTGGGACAAAACTGGACCAGACCAAACCAAATCGACATTAGGACTAAAACTGGGTCCAAACCAAGTATGAATGCACCTATAGTGTCTGCAAAGTACTTGTGAATGATATAATTCAAAAGCTGAATTTTGGCTTTTGTCCTGTAAAAAACATTTGTGCTTTATACTAGTATCAAATAGAAAACTGCTTCAGGTGCAGTAATATGAGAATAAAGAGTAAATAAAGAGTGCTACTACTGTATATTGATTCTTATAATATTTCTAAGCCAGTACAAATTGAGGATTGCAGTTGAAAGGTAACCCACTGTGTAATCAGCTGCTTAACATGTAAATAAAGTTTTATTTCTTTGTTAAAAAATAAATAAGTAAATACAATTTCCCTTGGAGTAACAAGCCAATCAATTGTCTGTCTGCTCTACAATTAACTGCCAAGTCAGTGACAGTTTGACACTATGCCAATGACTTGAAGCTTTTTAAGAAGTAAAATAAGCAAGATTTTCTTAATTACAAGACAGTCGCCGTCTGTGGAAGTTTTTGAACTAGCTAGCTTGTTATAATGTATCAAAATCTGTTGCAAATCTGTTAGCAAGCTGAACTGCAGGTTGTTTCTTCAATAGCCAAAGCATAAGTGGAACTTTTTATTACAATTTGGAGGTCGACGTTCCAGAGAGAGGAGCAAGCCAGTCTGTGTTCTCAATACAAAGCATTAGAGGGAACAAGGTAAGGCCTGGGACAGCGGAAGATAACGGCAATCACACAAAATTAATTATTGACTCTGGTGTTAATGAAAGGTTGAAACAGAAGCTAACGGTGCAATCAGCTCTACGACACAATCCCCATCTTCTCCAGCCATCAGCAGGAAATAGAAAAGGTGGAAGTTCATGGACAGAAGATACAGGCTAGCTGATGAAGACGTTAGCAACAGTCATTAATTGATAAGCTGTGAGAAAAGCTAATTAGAGATACCATAGGTTGCATTTAAGGAGATGTTGGGGATACAGAATGAATGAGAGAAGGTATCCATGGGTTTCAGAAGGAGAAAAAGTACCAGATTTTTTGTCTTGGCTCACTATAGATATATTGCAATACTGTAAAGCAGCTCTTAAAGGGCAAAATGAGACCGCTGTGTCCCGTCTGCATCTAATTATAAAGTGTATTACTGTGCAAGAATAAGGAAGGGCACTGTTAGCATGTTGAATAATTAAGATTATATATATATATATATATATATATATATATATATATATATATATATATATATGAAATCCATGAATACAATACAAATGATGGTAAAGAAGACACAAATATATTTTGTATTAATGTCTTGTTTTACTTACAGATATGTGTAAATATCTATATTCAAGTGAGATGCATCTAGCGAAGCTCGGAGGACCCCAGAAAGCAACGCCATTATTGTCCAGCATACATCGACGACTAGCAGATCCTGTCAAAAAATAACAACCCAAATTAGTGCATTATTTCACATCAAAATATGTGTAATGTTGTTCATAGAGAACATTTTTCTTCATTCAAACTCTTTGGTTATCTACACTAGATTGTTATGTTATTTGCCCGTTGGAGTGATTTCCGAGGAAGTGCTCTGATCATGGTGAGGCAAAGTGCAGCTAGAACATACAAAATCAATATCTCTCCATGCCTTTACTGTGGCTGACATTTCCAACACTGCATTTGTCAGGCTTAATGGTAAATCCACTGACCAAGCACAAACATAACTGGCCTTTGTAGATTGTTGTTTATTCTTAAATTTACTAAATTTACTTATACTATTTTATTTGGTAGGGGTTGTCACTGGACTGGAGGCAGCATATGGGAAACTGGAATCTTCCACAGTATGGCATTACACATATACTGTATATCTCATAATAATGAAACACATTTTGTCAGTTTGGTTTAGCAATAAAAACTGTTGTTATTGAATAAATTGCCATAATGTGGAACAGACCAATAACATCTTCATGTGTACCTTTGGGTCAATAAAACATGTCTTGGGAGAGTGGAAGGAAGTTGAACTACATAGTTCAATAAGGTTCATTTGGTCTTCCAATAATTTATGTTATTAGGTTCTGTTTTCAGACCAAGAGTTTGTTTTCATACCTGTTTGTTTTCGACTGCTCACTACCGGTCTTCCTCAGAGTGGTCACGTGACTTTCCTGTGACGTGTCTGGTCAGCTGATTTATACAGGTTTTGATGCTGTCTTCCTACCAGTGGAGGCAGGATGACAGCCCCATCTGCAGTCCGACTTCCTCAAGACAGTATCCCAGGTGTGTGAGAGTAAAAAGCCCCCTCATCCCAGGTTTATAGGCTATAGGTATAGGTAATAGGTAGGAAGACAGTGCCAAAAGCTGTATAAATCAGCTTACTGGACATGTCACTGCAACATCATGTGACCACTTTGAGGAAGAGCTCTTGGTCTGAAAAAAGAGCTTAATAACATACATAAAAAGGACTTCATTAACAAGACTATTATGTGCATCCTTTGTATCCAGCCTAGTGTTAGCTAAGAGATTAGATTACCCAGTCTGCTACTGTGCACTTTAAAAATTCCACTAAAATGCCATTTTAAGAGCTAAAATGCCAAGGACCAAGCAAAATGCATTACTTAGAAAAGCAAAGACATATTTGGTGAAATTGAATGCTACATTTGACAGCTGTAGAAGCGAGCCATTTCTTTTACAGGCACAGTTAGACAGCTGTTCTTCGCTGGGGATCAAAAAGAACAAGGAGCGGGGTTTGTTCTTCTCCTCTGCTTTTAGAATTTAAAAGAGGGTGTCTGGCTGCACAGTCTGCACCAGGCACTGAAGCACAGATATGGATTGACTTTGTACTTGCAGGACACATCTGCTGCTCTAATTAAGCATTAATGCTGGATAATGCATGAGCTGTTAGCTTAGAATGCCCGGGCCTCTAAAACACTCTCAAATGTGCTGTGTTCATGCCACTCAGGCACAAAGCACCATCTCAGCACTCTTTCACTGGTTTACTGGGGTTTTGTTTATCTAAAAATATTAGTGAACATTCAGCTGAATTCAAAAGTGTGGAAAATGAACTAAATCAATATGACATTTATGATTGTATTAAGTTGCTTGGACTTTTTTTTATAAGACACACTTGTTTTCCCAACAATTTTAAACACTTTACTTAGAGTTTAAGCTATAACCATTACTGCATAGACAACTGCTAGATAACCAAACTCTCATCCCACATGTATGACAGCTTAATGGTGTTATTTAGCATTTCAATTCATAATAACATTTGACCAATGGTAATATGTGCATGTGTGGCCAGTGAAGACACCACATTTTTTCCTATATAATATTCATTAATTTCATTATGATAGGCTGTTTAGCCAGTGGTCTCTCTGTATGAAAACAACCATAGCTGAAATTTGAAATTTACTCTCCTGTATCACTGAAATAAACACTATAGAGGATTTCAGTCTACAATTATCAGGCAAAATTCTTCCAGGGAAAACATGCTGTGGCCTGTTTATTTTAGAGTAGTGCTGCCCGCAGGCCAGACTTGGCCCTCCAGGGGATCTAATTCAGCCAGGGAAGGGGTGCTGAAATTTGTAATATCTAATTTGATTTGATTTTCTGCTGAAAGTTGGAACGAAATCAGGCTACCATCTAAAATAACAATAATTAAAGACAATTTAAACACAAACTCTCTTTTTTTTAAATGCAGCACATACAGATTTGCCCCACTAACCACTGATATTAATTTTAGCCAGCCAAGCAAAACCGTTTGGCCATAGGGTTTAGAGAGACAAATTGTTTAACTATAAATGAATTTTAAAAAGTAAAGTACATTCATATTTCTTCTTATAACAAATTATCCATGACTGACCCGTAGCATTGGTTGGACACTTGTTGTATACCGTCTCTCCAGCAGAGGCTCTCTTCCACGTCATGGTGAGAAGGTGCTCCTCTTTACAGATCTCATGAGGAGCTGTGGGAGAGAGGGAGAAGACAGACCAAACCACATTACAAAAGGTGAATTGAAATGCACTGTAGCACGGAACGCGGCAAAATAACAAAATCCCACTCCCAGCCAGTCCACATACACAACTCTATACACCACAAAGAGGAAGCACACAAAAAAAAACAAGATTCAAATCAATGTCCTACTTCTACTTCGGCTCCCAATCTTATTCCCTTGTACGTTGCTCAGTGCTCTCCTTCAGTGTCAGTATCTCATTCCCTCTTCATCTTACCCCGACGCTGTATTCATCTGCCCCCTCCCACCCCTCACCTCCCTCCCTCCCCACTTTCATAACCCTAATGAAAAAACGCCAGAGAGTGCTCAGAAGATCTTCCGAGGGGGCCACACAAGTGTTGGCAAAGGCGACGCAGCACAGATGAAGGGGGGACTGAGAAAATGGAAGAAAAGGCATCACACTGCGTTTGTCCCACAGCAGATGAGATCCTTATGTAAAAATGTAAAAAAAAAAAAAAACATAGAGGGAGGGGGGAGAGCTGGAGAGCCACTTTAAACAAAGGGGTCAGGAGAGGCGGCACTCAAAAGTTGTCAGAACTAAAGCAGCCACTAAAGTTGGAGCAGCATATGCACGCACACACTCTCCGCTCCAGTGAAGAGTGGCGTTTATTAAAGCTTGTATTTTTGGCACTGGCACTTGGGCAAATTGTACAGAGAACGTTTCATTGCAGAAAAACTAAAAGGAAGAAATAAAACATATGCCGACGTCTGGACTATTTTTGATTTAGAAGTGGTGAACAAGAAATGAGGTTTGGACCCACGCAGTTTAAACCAGGTTTAGACATGAGCAGAACTAATTTAGCCCCGTTTTCATGTTTGTTGATAAAAGTACAGACTACAAAGACTGCAATTTATAATTTGGGTGCATAAATGTGTTCTGTTTGTCAAGCTAATGGTTCAATTAAATCACTGAGAATTTTAAATGGTCTGTATTTTGAAAATCTAACACTTCCCTGCTAATAATCCATGAGACATTACTGGTTTTAACTTCAGCTAAATTCACTCATAATATTTTCAAAATTTTTTGTTACCTTATAAATATTTTAAGTAATTTTTTAGTAGTTTACACTGCGGTATACATGAGCATCATTGATTAAAAAAATTAAATTGCAAAACAAAGTAAGTACAGAGCATTGGGGGTATACAAGGGTAAAGATCGCTCTAAAGATTGCTCTAACATGCACAAATCATTACAAATTCTACTTTGAGAGTAGAAATGGTGAGGGGGAACAAATAAAAAGTTACAATTGCGCAGTAGGTCCTTCAAGGCTAATTAACATGCAGTTATTAAACACATTAATTTAAAGCTGACTAACATTTCATATTTTTTAATTATTCAGTGTAATATCATACAAAGAGTGTGAATAATCTGAGAGGAGTTACTGACCGGGGCACTTGTTGTCGTTGCATGAGCGCACTTCCTCTGCAGAGCCCTCACATGGGCTGCTCTGTCCTGCACTCGTCTCACACGTCCTGAAGCGCCGCTGCCAGCCAGAGTCACACGTCTTACTGCACAGACTCCAGTGGCTCCACATGCCCCAGTTACCACCTGTTCCACACAGCCATGTACACACACATACATATACACAAGAATGTCATACACCACTTCTGAATTTGAATACAGTATGGCAGGGATCTCCAACCTTTTTCCTCCAGTGAGCTACCTTTACAAAAACGAAAATGCCAGAGAGCTACTTATTTTAGCTGTAGCAAGAAATTGAGTGAATAGAAGAGCCACGGCAAACCTTAGACGGGGTACAGCTAGATACGAACAGAACAGTTATTAGTGCACACATTAGGCATCAAAATGGCAATGGACATTTGATTCAAAAAAATCAAATTGGTGTTATTTAGCTAAATGCTTATAATTTACAAACGTCTTGGCAAGCTACTTGGAAGGGGGGTGGAAAGCTACTGGTAGCTCCCAAGTTACAGGCTGGGGACCCCTGTTGTATGGAATATAGTGAACTATGGCCTATGAGACACTGACGGTGTGTTCACACTAAAAACTAAAACATGCACAATAGGGACTCCTGTGAAAAAGAGCTTCTTAATATCAGCAAGACTCACAGTGAAATAAACATTGATAAAAATAAATAATAAATGAAAACCCACTAAACCCAGAACTAAACCAGGACCAGGACTAGGACTAGGACTGTAGGACTAGATCAGGACTTGAACTCACCAAACCAAGTCTACATTTGAACGCAAACTAGGCTAAAACTAGGACTAAAAAGGACAAGTATCCTTTAGTACTACTTTGTATTTATGTTTTGCCCTTTTAGGGTGCTTCCCTCCCTTAGTCCACTTCTTTATACAGTCTGTGGTCTTACCGCTGCACGCCGGGTTGGTGCAGTCTCGGCTCTCCTGATGGGGGCCCTTACACTCAGCCCAGCCATGTACCGATGCACTACACCTCCTCTGTCTCTGCTGGGTCCCTGTGTTACAAGTCACACTACAACGTGACCAGGGGCCCCACTCCATCCACTGGCCCTCCACTGAAAAAAACAAACAAAAAAAAACAACAGGGAACATTTAGTTTAGTAGTGTGTGGAAGTAAGAACACATTGAGTACCTAATGAATAGTATCAAAGCTGTTTGGAAATGAGTCAAGTGTTTTAGTTTATCTTCAGTTCAAAAATACAAAAAGCACTTGTTTGTCTATGGAAATCATCCTTATCAGTATGTGTTACTGGCTATATTGTTTAAATAAATCTATTTTGATTCTAAGCTTCAAAAAAGATCACACAAACGAAGTGAGTTAGATTTCCATTACTAATGCATAAGCAAAGACACACAATTGTATCTGAGTGCTTAGAACAAAACACAGCAGGCAGCTCATTACTATAATATGCATAAAAACTAACATCAACATCAAAACACAGCTTATAGAAGATATTGCTGCAAACTACTCTTCAAGAGACCATTGCATTACAGCCCTAGACATTATACTAAATGTAACAGTTTTGGCATTCTGTGCTTGTGCCAGATTATAGAAGCACACTGCACATCTAAAATATGAATCTGGAATATGGTAGTTCTGACAGTTTGAGATTAAAGCTGCATTACTGCACTTGTCTTGTGTAAGTGAGTACATTTTGCTCTCAAGAGAGTTTTGTAGGAAATCAGAGCACTGTGAGCTATCCACATCTAATTGTAAAAGAAATTAACAATTGAAAATACACAGTGGAGCCATGTGCCTTGCTATAAAAATCCCTTGGGGTGAAAGCCATTTGGCTGTGCATTGGTGGTCCACCCTGCTTCACTTTTCTGTCTGAAAAAAGCTGTTCTTTTAAGTTGTGCATGTGCTCAAAAATCATGCATGTGAATATTAGTGTTGTGCCAAGGGGCCAAAGAGAGCAAGGAACAAGTTAGACAGATTAAAATACATTTTTCCTCCTTTCACAATTTGAAAATCTGGTCCCCCAGCTTAAATTATAAAGTTGTTTCAAGATGTTTCTCACTTATTGCAACACATTTTTCATTTCAAGACAAATTATTTAAATGATTAGAAGTTTTATTTTATTAATTGAAACTTGAAACTGAAATTTTGTTCCTGTCTCTAGTCAAAAGAACTCAAACTCAAGTCATTCAAACCAATGCTAGACTGAATAAATAGAACATTTAACTTGTATCTCTCCTCATACATGATAACTAGAACAACCTAAATCAGGAATACCTCTAAGGACAAGTGCCCCACTGTAAACTATACACTTCCCATAGTGATTCTGGGCACTTTGTCTCTATATTAACTACAAAGGCAATTCACAGTGAGACATGTTCTCTTCCTGCTCCAAATGATGTATTGAGTCACACATTGAACACACAGGGGCTTTCACATGGAACAAGTGAAGTACAGTCCTGTAAATGCATTTGTCTGGCTCCCCCAATGGGACCCTGTTGCCAGCTCTCTTTGGTAATGTGGTCAATCACACCATGGGCTCTATGTCATCCATGGCGATACTCCAGTTAATTCAGCCTTCAACCCACATATGATTTCAAAGAGCTAATTTAAATACATTGAGAGCAAGAGCATGGCATTTCCCTGTTTACGTTTGGAGTAGTGATTAAATATGGCGCATGCTTCGCAAATGGTACCCAATATCGTGCATATACAGTACATATGAAGTTGGCTGTAAAATGACTGTTTATACTGTGAGGAAAAACAGGAGGTGTCAGACTATTCAATGTGTAGTTATGTGCCAATAGCCGCCCACACTGGAGCTTTGTAGATTATGGCTTTTGCTCTAAAAATTAAAGCAAAAAGAATTAGTACCACCAGAAAGGGACGTGTTTTATTTGGAGTGAGTGCTTTGTTAAATATAGACAGAATGGCCCCACGCAGCCTGGGAAAAGAATCCAGGACCTTCTTGTGATGGGGCAGAATTGTCACTAAAGGGTTTGCTAACAAGATCAATAATTTTAAAGAGCCCACATGTTCTTATCTATGTTAAAATGTTGTTTCCTCATTATAAACATACCTGGAGTTATGTTTTTTTCAGAAAACATGCTGTTCTACTGTGTGATATCATGTCGTAATACAGGAAGTGCTCCGCTGTGATTTTAAACTCCATACACCTTCACTAGAATCATATGGATGATTTCAGCCCTGGAATTGAAAACCTCTAATGAACTGAAGATAAAAGGTAACTGTTAATTTGAAAACTACCATTATGTGACATCACAAGGTGGAACAGAGCATTTTGAGCTTTGGAGACATAGACAGACTAATAATAAAGGATTACTCAAACATCTGACCTCGCAGCATTAGGATTCGTTTGCTCGGCAATAGATAAGTACCTTTTAATTTTACCAATCGCTGCTATTTGGTTGTGATGTATGAAATGCACAGCTAATGGGGCTAACTGGTATATTAAGCTTTTCCAAAATCCCATAGGAAGAAGGGCAATAATGTCTTTCCCCTTGATAAAATTAATCAAACACTCTCTTTGTTCTGGCTTTAAATCCTCGATCTCAGGAATAATTTCCAACACAGAATGTCTGGCTTCGTCTACATCTATTTCAACAGCTTTGTTTACTGTTGTCCTGTACCACAAAAGGGACCCAGACAGGCACTTGAGTTTGACATCATAGCTTCACAGCTCTTTGCTGATTGGCCGGTGAGTGGTCTATAACTTCCAGGATTTTCGCAAACCGTCTAGTGTATTCCGATTCCTGACCTCTATTATAGGTGTGGGAGATGAAATCTAAATGGGATTTGACTCTCCTATGATCTGCTGTAAATGAACACACAATTAAGGCTCCAAATTGCATATAGTGCTCATATTGGACCATGTAACAGAATCTTTTTCCCACCCACTCCTTCAACTGGTCATACAGAGTGACAGATGAATGAAAAGGCACAGTGTAAAACTTATAATAAACAGAAATTGTAACATATAGACAGACTTTTGTCATGGAATTGTTTGCCATGTTACCCACGTGCTGTCTTTTTGCATATTCATTTCATACCCTTTACAGTTATAAAATGGAACAGTGCGTCCTATATCACACAAGCCTTCACAAGCAGATATCTATGAGGAAAAGATCAATCAAACCAGCATTGTGGTCTCTGCTGCCTTTGAACTGGCCCTCTACACATACACTCTCGCCCGCACAATAATACACACATTCACAAATTTCCTCAAGGCACTTGAAGAAGACAGTATTTATTTATTTATTCCTTCCCTAAACCCCACTCTCCATCAGCTCTCCCAAAACAGCATGGCACAAACCTCCCATAGGCTATACTTGAGATTATGTCGTGCCGCTATTCCTCGCACTTCACAGCCTCTTTGTCTGGCAATGGGGACAGTTTTATTTAAATATTATCCTTATAAAAGCACTGTGGTGAAAAACAGAAAGGAAGAAACACGAAATTATAACTCTACTGAGAATTTCAGACAGGCTGCAGACTTAAGAGGTAAGGATTTGTAATTATCGGCATTAGCGACGTTAGCATTTAGCACTTATCTAAAAGTAAACAGTCAGAATAGCAGCCTTCTCTATGAGCACTTTTCTTCTGATATAAAAAAAAAAAACAACAACTAAAAACTAATATACAATAAGAGTCACCTTTTTCATTTTGATAAGGAGGTTTGTGGGCCTGACCTCATCAGACCTCAGAAGCTAAGCAGGGCTGGACTGGGTTAGTACTTAGATGGGAGACTGCTGGGAATTCCAGGTACCACAGTGGGGGGCCAATGTGTTGTTGTGTCCTTTAACAAGACACTTCACCCACATTGCCTAGTATGAAAACAGTGTGTGCGTGAGTGATGGTCGGGGAGTTGGTGTTGCAGATTGGCAGCATCGCTTCTGTCAGTCTGCCCCAGGGCTGTTGAGGCTACAATAGTACCACCACAAAGTGTGGAGTGAATAAATAATGCACAAAATTGTAATGTGGTTTTGAGCATCTGGAAAAGCGTTATATAAGAATAATGTATTATTGTTGCAAAACGTCTGACGAAATGCACATTGTGCTACATAAATCCATTTAGGATGTTATTACCATTAACAAATGGAATGACTGAATGTCAATGCTTTCATAATCTAGACAGTTGATGTGAAATACAAAAATAGATTGTTTATCATACAAATGTTCAAAAATCAGCAAGACAACATCCTGCATAGTTTTACATAATGGCATAATGTGACATTTTCTGCTAAACTAATTATAACCCAGAAAAAAATCTTCAGCGAATAAAAGATTTACCCCACTATTCTTAGTATAGGTAAGGCCACAAAACCGTTTAGAACTATAAAGCACTTTACCTAACCTGTCAGATTTGCCATGTAAAAGGAATCTGCGAAAGGAAAACAAAAATGATATGTTTTGTAAATGAGAAATGAGCAATGTACCTGTACATAATACAGAACTAGTTCACAATGAGAGGGGTTTACAACACTTATAACTTTCAGAGGATAGAGTTTTGCTGTCACATTAATGCTGACAACAACTGGCATACTATCTGTGCACTGATGAACAGACAATAAAACACTTTATAATTAGATACAGACAGTATAAAATTAACTTATTTTGACCTCAAGACCCGCTAATATAATATATCTGAATCAGGTACATGGCTTGAAAGTTTAGAACGTAAACTAAACCAAAGTGCTACCAATGCCATGTGCTGCTTTGCAATGGCCTCACTGGCCATTTATTTTTTATTTTTCCTATTGTGACTTTATTTCAATCTGCACCCGGCCTTATTCCACTCCACTGGCTGTCTGATCAAGATGTCTCACTTGGACAGTCCGAGGCAGATTGGGAGAAAGTCCTGCAGTCGCTTCCACACCAGAATTAGATGGGCCTGCACTGGCGACTTATTACTGTGCTTGACAAGGTATGGGACCTAATAGGTAATCTCTGAGACAATACCTAAAGAGCCAAGCCCCTGGGCCGCTGGGCAATTTAAACCAAGCCAACCATAGAGAGACTGCAGGCTTCAAAGATACAGGTTTAACCACTGCCTTAAAGAACTACTCAAGAGTCTTAACCCAATGTAAGGTAGAACTATGTGGGATAAAGTGTTCTTAAATATAATGTAAGCTATACATCTGGAACCATTTGGCTACTTCTACTGAATGTTACTGGAAATAAGTTTTGCCTGGCTAGCCAAAACCGCACAACTTTTACAATATTTTTCAAAGATGTGTCTGAAACTGTGTCCTGTGTTTCTGATGGGTGTGACTGACAGGTGGATTACCCAGTCAGAGGAATGAATGGCCCGCTTGTGTCAAAAGAACATGGCAGATTACAAGTAAAGAAAGCAGCATGGATTTTTGCAGGATCAACAAGCAAACAAATAAACTCTTAAATATCTGAGGTAGAAGAAGTTATATATTTTAAGTTATATATTTTTACCTGAATGATGCGGGAATATTCGAGTAGAGCTGTGCCCCTCATTTGAGAAACACATTGGCTATGACTGGCACATCCCAAGAAAGGATGGTGGCTAGATGCATTTTATTGTTCCAGACTGTAGACTGCATATATAAATGGATATAGCTATAAATGGACATAGCTAGCCGCCATGTTCCAAATAAATAAGCATGGGGTACTTTCAGCTTTACAGACTCTGTAACTGCTTTTGTGAGCCACGTCATTTTGGTCTTAAAATGTTCATATTAACACACTTTACATGATCCTGGTGTTTTTATTATGTCCTTAAATAAATTCCTGTTCCTAATATGAAACTCGCCTCCAAAATCACCTCTATAACTGCTAGCCTCGTGAGCTTCACTTGACTGGAGCAGAACACTGTGGGTGACATCACACTCTCTTAGTCCACTTCTTCTTTACAGTCTATTTTCCAGACCCTTCTACGTTTGAACGGGAAGTAGGAGGATCAGGCAAGCAAAAGAGCTACCTGTATCGTACCTACACAAAACGTCTATTATTTCAACATATTTGGAAGAAGGGGTGAAGTGTTGTCATTGCCTTTATCTCACAAAAAATAAATAACTTGAAATAGACCTGCAGAAGAAAAGATTTTTTTTTTAACAAGAACAGGAAATTCTGGCAAATTTATCTCGTCAAAATGGTTGAAACAACTATTACACTTTTTTTTTCCAGCATAAAAAAACAGAGGAACAGAATGTTACAGCGGCACAGGTAAATGCATTTGACTCCTAGAAACATAATAACACACAGAAATTATTTTTATATACTGCGAGTTGTCATGGTAACCAGTTTTTGTGCAGAAGCGTGAGTTGAAAGAACAAAGCAGCAGTGAGACATGCGCGAGCAGGCAACACAGGCACAGCAGGCAGCAGGTGAGTGTAAATGGGATGGTAGTATACTGACCGGGGCACACGGCTATGTTGCAGGGTTTGGTCTGGGATTCGGGCCGGCCACACTCCGCTGCCTCATCCGTATTCACACACTTCCTGGTTCGTGTCCGGAGGCCCCGCCCACAGGTCACAGAGCACAGACTCCATGATGACCACTCCTCCCACTGCCCATGCACTGCAGATGCCCACATACAGCGGAGGGATGAGGGATGAGGGATGAGAGACGGGATGGGAGCAAGGCAAGCGGAAAGGTAAGAAAAACAGCACATATTCAATGAGTATGCACACATGGCTGAATAGAAGGATGGAGGAGGAGATGCATGGACCTCCGCAAGACCAAAATCACACATTTTCACAAACAAAAATGAAATAGGATGGGGAGTTGGCTATTTTCAATTAACAGTCATTTCAAGCGGTAGCAAAGTATGTTGAAGCATATTTAAAGATGCACTGTTTCTTGACCAACATGAACTTTTACAGTAGAGTAGCCCCAGCACCACTTTTTGTGGCCAGGGATTCCCTTATAGTTATGAAAATAAAGGGCCCACTATCATCCTCTGCAGTGGCATAGCAATAAAATTCAGAAATTCAAGCATGTTTATAACCTAATTTGGATGAAGATTTATTTCTCATAGTCATAGTTGCTGCCATAAGCACATTAAATGTTTGGTGCTGTATATCATTTAAAAAAATGTAGTATTTAAGTCATGATCAACAGTTATCACAATTTTTGAGGGACCCCAACACATGGCCCAGAGACCTGCAGGTTTGCCTGGATCCCACTTTGAGAAAAACTGCTATAGATACATAATTTTAAAGGTATACTTCCAGACAATTCCAGAAAAAGCCATTACATATTCATGACAACAAGCATGCAGAGCAGACCCTCAACCAAAAAAAGCTACATAGTGCAGTTTTATTTATTATACACATTCACCTTCCTTTACAGTAATAATTTTTAAAGGGCTGTACAAGACTTTTTGTGTCTTGAAAACATGAAAAACAAAACTAATAAATTTTAAACTGCAACGGTCCAAACACAGAGATCAACATCCTATCAATATTTTATTAATACATATATTATTGTATTATAACCTATGGGTTGCACTACAGAATATATAAATGTACATTTCTTATTTTTCATAAGAAACCTACATTCCACATCGGAGCCGAGTTTGTCAGACTGATGTCAAGAGATTCTGAAAGATCAATGGCTTTGTATGTACTATACAAAGATACAAAGAACATGGACTGGGTTTATTGAATAGCAGTAATCTGAATGCAGACTGCATAGGTACTACTATACTATACTTGGTTTTAACTACAAATCTATAATGGGCTCTGCAGCCTTTGGTACTCACTCAGACTTCAAATAAGCAGCCTGTGAGTAAGATATTAGGCCTTTCCTTCACTTTCCCTCCCCTTTGTTGCTTTGGGCTTGGACATTCTATTTCATATTAAAGGACAATAGGACACAACAACAGGCACTCAAACACTGCACAGAATAAAGTTTTTTAATAATGAAAAATTACTTGGCTGTTATGTTAATTCTGATGATCTTATTCAAATTGGACAGAGCAAGATGAAAACACAGACAAACAAAAAAATATAAAACAAAAATCATAAAATCCATTCAGCTTTATAATAAAAGAACACTTATTAAGACTAACTAGTGATTGGAATTGTAATGCATAAATTACAAGGTTACTGAGCTTTGTAAGACTTAATAGCTTTCCAGTTAAAACACACATGTAGACCACTGCAATATTATTCTCTTTTTGTGTGCAACAGATAAGTGAAAATCAAAATAATGTATTCTCAAGGCTTGTTTATGCCAAACAACAGAGCCAAAATCAAGCTTGTTTATTATTATAATTCTTATGAGTGCAGATTACTGACAATAGCGATAGGAAAGAGGACACAACACCATGATTTTGTCAGGAAATGCATATTAGCTGACACCATGCCTACACACAGATGTTTTCTCACCCCAAGGCCATACAAGCAAATACTCAAGCATCAATACAATTATTACAGCTCGGAATCCGGTCGATGCTTAATGAATATCAAGCATTTCATATCAAGGTTTCAAACTGATAGTTGACATACCCCTGGAGCGACTTAAAGTGGAATAGGAATAACATTGCACACCACTTTGTATTCAGCCACTGTCATTCACTCAAAAGAACACGTTCATTTGTGATTTTTTCTGAATCATTAGGATCGAGAACAGGTTTATGTTTTGAAATTAAGATTCAGATGATGGTGCACATTTCATCCAGGTAAGGTAACTGTTGGAGATTTCTGACTTCTTTTCTCAGATGATGTTTCTAGAGGACTACATTGTTGAGCTAGCACTTTTTATTTACAATATATGGATGCATAAAGGATATTTCGTATTCTTTTTATTTTGATAACACATTTTGAGTCAGATATACTGCAATAAACGATAATATTGAAATATCAGTGGCATAAAGCTACTTTAAATAGACAGTGTGATTAAAAAGCCTGAGCTGCAACAAATAAATAGCAGAATGAACCAATAATTAACCATAGAAGTTTGTTATTCAACCTTTTACAGCTCAAATCTTATTGTATTTCAGCTAAAATAACAACAATCTCAATCCCTTTGCAAATAAAATACACAATACATATTGAGCCTCAAAATAGATTGTTCTAGCTTTCATATATTGAACAATAAATCGATATATTAATTATCGTGACACACCTTATATACTTCAGCTACTACTACTTTAGCTGGAGGATTTTATCTTTTGTGTCTGTTTTGGATTAGCTGCCTTTACATTTATCTAATTGTGACCATTGAAACTGTGATTGAATTAAGATGATTGATTCTGAAGCTCTATTGAATGGCTTTGCTTATATTGTATTTGTGGTGACAGCCCACTACTGTCCACTAGCCAGGAATCTGTTAGTTCAGGGGCAAATGCATCTTTGACTAAAATTGCCACTGACTTTTTCCTAATGCTAAAGAAAAGATCCTCTCCTAAATGTGTTTCTATAGATCCCTTACTAATGGATTATCTACAGTGACAGTATTCATACAGCAGTTTTTTTCATTTATTTTTTTTACAGTTTTATTCATACATTTCCAACAGCAAGCTACACAGTATTTTTACCAGACACCATTAGATGTGCTTTTTTTTTTTTTCAACAAAAATAAATTATATATTATAGTCGCTCGTGGCAATGATGGCATGCTATTGTCCCTTTTCAAGAGCTGCCCAGGCCCACAGATTCTCCATCAGAAACATTACACAGTGCACCTTTAAATGTTTTTTTTCTTTGTGCCCCTGCTTGCCAGTGTGAAAAATGCTGTAATATATTTTTTTGCTTCTTGTCATTCATTGAATTAATTCCCAAATTTGGTACAAATCCGATGATGATTCACAACATTTCACATGTATGGCAGCGGGTGCTATACAGTTCACTTTTCATATACTTTATAGTATATTACATTCTGGCCAAGAGCAGCCATTAGTAATTCAAATTTCAGCACAATTAAACTAAGCATATGCGTGTAAGATTTTTTTAAATATTTTTGGGGGGGGGAGTCTTTGCGTTCCTGCTGGCCAACCGTGAAAAATATCCCATGTGCATAACATGTTTTTTTTTTGCTTATAGTCAAGCATAGAATTGAATCCACAAATTTGGTACAAACCCAATAACTCTGACATTTCCTGTGTATGGTATAGCGTACACTTTTTCTATACTTTATAGTAAATTACATTCAGTCCGAGATCACGCATTAGTGATCTTTGCATGATTGGACTAAGAATGTGCGTATATTAGGGGTGGCACAGATCACAAAATTCACGGTTTGGTTCGTATTGTGGTTTAAGGTCGCAGTTTTCGGTTCGGTACAGCTCTTGTTGTAAGTTTTTCTTTATAATCATTAATCTCCAGAAATATACTTTATCATATGCTATGTTAGCTTAATTATCCACAATTTAGGATATAGCATTAAAAAAGTTATACAATTATAGTTAGTAATGTAATCATACACAAACTGAATTTCACTTGACTTTAAGCACATTATTATTGGAAATAGGCTTGTCCTAGGTTGTACTTCGGTGAAAAAATGTTACCACCTTCCGCACCCTCCTCAGGAGTGGAGATACTTGGTTTAGTGAGATTGTGCTCTTGGATGAAGGGTTAAGGGCCTGGCTCCACTGTACACGTCAGCGTTTACGTGCGTTATCTCGTGAAACCACAGCCGCACGTCAACATAAAGGCGGCTTCACCGGCAGCTGCAGCAGGACGTACACGCACAGCACTGGCTCTGTTTTTGTCAATGGGAAAGACGATCAAACTTGACTGGGCGCGTTTAGCCACTTGTATCAGGTCTACAGTGAAACTAACAGCTGAACAGACTAGTATTTACCTTCTGTACAGGCTCACCACAGCAAACGCGAGGATTTCAAAAGTAACTTTTAAAGCACTTATTAACAGTGTCTCTGGACCTGGGCTCTTTCACATGACACATACCTGTCCCAGGAGTAAACGGGCAACTACAACCAAAGATTCATGCTCTCTGTGTATTCTGACGGGGATACGCGCCTACGCTCACGTAGAGCGTCAAAAAATACGACGGATCCTATTTTCAGAAATCTATGCGCGCAGGACATGCAGCTCCATACACGCGTCTAACGCGTACAGTGGAGCCGCACACATTCACTTTCCATGCATTCTAAAAGTTACGCATCCAAAAGTTGCAATTTTTACGCTCGCGTAGGGCAAAAACACGCCCAGTCAAGTTTGATCGGCTTTCCCATTGACAAACACAGAGCCATTGCTGCGCGTGTACGTCCTGCTGAAGCTGCCGGTGGAGCTGCCTGTGCGGTGACGTGCGGCTGTGGTTTCGCGAGGTAATGCCACGGGCGCATCCTCCATCTCCGGGCAGCCCTGTTCTCTCTTACTTGCCATTTCTACATGTGACGTGCAGCACCCACCCTCCACACCTCTTCTTTTATGCCAAAGTGAAACAGGTCACATACAGGCACGAGGCTATAATGCGCAAGCCAGGAACCGTGGAAACCATACGGTACGCACACGTCCCGAACTGTGACAAGCGAACTGAACGTTTTTTTGTTTTGTTTTTTTCCATGAACCGTGCCACCCCTAGCGTGTATGATTTTTTGAAATACTTTTTGT